TGAGAATCCGAAAGGTCAGGCCAATCTTGCCCGCCTACGTGTACAAGTGTTCTTATGAAGGATAAAGGCCTTGCACCCCTTCCCTGCCTGATTAGTATGGAACAGATTTATATTTCATCCAAGCCAATGTTTCGTGCCTCTTGTGTGCGAATGTGCTAAGGCAAAAGGCCAATTTTCTTAAAATCCATTTCCCATTTACGAGAAAGAAATAGCAGTAATACTTGCAGCCACTGCCCCTCGAATCCCGCATCAGGAAGCACTTTAGGGCAAAACTGATATGATGACTCGGAAATCGTTGATTATTCGAGAGACTCTCAGTAAATGACGTAGTGTTTCGATGAGCTCACAGTTAGTGCTAAAGACAACCGTGTCAGCAGGATCGCAAGGAACTGTGACAACTCAGGAGAACCGCAAAGTAAGGACCTTTGTTTTTACCACAAATCTCCACGCAGTCGTTGCGGTTGTTGCATGCGAGATGCAAAATTGAAACGCCTTCTGGGGACAAGGTTTTATCAAAATCTAAAGAAAATGCCAAAATATGGCTGCCCACACTAATTAGACCATTTTGGGACTATAAGAAGTCCTTACTCGCAATTGTCGGAAAGTAATTCGTTAGGCAGTGGAGCCAAAAAACACCGTTTAATTTCTCTGTTCTTCCTTCTTCTCCGGCAAGGAAGTCACAGTTTTTCATAATACAATGGAACTGTCCAAGTACAATTGCCTTTTTTCTATTTTTGGCTTCGTGAAGATTCTTGCATCTGTTTGGAGACTGTAGTGCTTTTAAAGGGATATTTTTGAAGATCTGAATAGTTGTAAGACAAACTGGAGGATTTTAATAGTCAAAAAAGTTTCTGCTCTGAATAGTTATCTGGGCACCAATAAATAGCAGGATAAAACGTAGGAAGTCACATCACGTTGAGACTCTATGTTATGCAAGGACTTGGCGTCTAAGATAAGGATAAATTACTTCAGAAGTAGGAGATGCAATCGCTGGAACCAGAAATTTATTTTTCTTACCTTTGGGATTCTACATTGAACGCTTCATCAGATATAGACAGAATCCGAAACCTGAGGCAAATAGACTTCTGTTTCCAGCGGTTGCAGCTTCTCGTTCTGGACTGCTTCCTGGAACTCGCCTGTGCGCTTCTACCATAATCTTTCTTGTTCCCATCTGTTTGTTTCATAAAACTTTATACTGGAAGGAAGGAAATCGATCGGCTTTTAAACGTTTCTAGTTCTGAGCTTCTCTAAGACCGTGTGATGTTCATTGCAATGCATCCTACCTGCTGGTCTATTAATGCACCTGGTGAAGTTCACGAGCTGGTCAACATCCAATGCAATATTTTATGAGCCCTATATGATAATCTCTTTAGTGACACAGAGGGTATAGTATCTTTCTCACAGAAAAAGTGTGTAACTTGTAGAATAGACGCAAATGCAATGCCAGAGCGGGCTCAAACTTATTCATTAATTTTTCACCAAGTGACTTTTCTACAGGCGGCAAAGTAGAAGTAAATTCAAAAGTCTGCATCCTGGCATGTCTGAAATAGTATGGGATCAGACCGCACGCTAATCCATTTTGCAACTCCACTTAGGTAAACCTTCCCAATCGAAAACACATTCCAGAATTTGATTAACAGTTCATGAGATCGGCTACTGAACTGGTGTAGCTTACCCCAGCCAGGAAACTTGCGCTGTTGGTTGAAGTCAAATCGCTTCTCTCCGTTATTTCCCTCGGTTGCTCTACCCCGTGAATTCCATAGGTGGCTCAGAATACGGCAGAACACCGCATAGAACCGTAATCTTAATCTGAAAATGTGGGATCCAACTCAGCTAATGTTCCGGCCGGAGAAACAAACTTTATACACATATGCAGTCTCTGACTTCAAGTCCCCTATCTTACGCACTTATTCGTAAAACTGGTCATAAAGAAGAAACAATCTGGCAGTACCTCGACAGCTTTACATTTCTATATTTTGATCCTATTTATTGTCATGAATGAAGGCTATTCATGCAGGTTCACTCGTAGTAATCAAAAAGATGAATTTTGAGTTATTATGCATATTTAGACAATTTAATGAAATATCATCGTCAAACATACGTTGCTTAATCAAAAGAAAGCCCAATCATTTTAATTGTCACCATGTCAAGCGATGTTGCGTGAAGGAAGTTGTACGTCCTTGATTTTCGTGAGGTTGACTGCTCATCTTCAGTTATGTGGTACTAGCGTATTCACTGCCCCAACGGACAGAGGGTATCCTTCGTAGGGGATAGTCACTGAGGTTGAAGGGCCGGATTACAACTCTTACGCCATCATCGATTTCTGGATCAATGTTCGCCGGAGGATTATTTGCCTCATTTTGAAGAAGATTCAGGAGGAGGGCAAATATGACGGTTTTGCGAACAATCTCCCTCAAGGCTGTTACGGTGATATTCACTGCATTAGTTGGCTGCGGCCACGTAGCACAGATGTTAGATCCCAAACAACTTGAGGACTGGGGAAATATGTCTGCTTCTGTATGTAAAGGTGCATCCACCGGAGGGCGCAGACCTTGTTGCAGATGTTGCAATAGCTGATCCATAAGAGAGGGGGAGAATTGACCAACTGGTGCCTCCCCATTTGACGCGGAAAGCGTCGGGACGGAGTTAGGGTTAGTGGCAGAGCAAAATGCTCTAATAATGTCTCTCTGAGCAAGTAGAGCGCTCGGTATGTAATCCGGTGGACGTTCTTGCACAAATGCATAGCCCGACTGAAAGATATCCTGTTGTGGATATTCTGAACGCTGTCGGGCATGATATTCCTTGGCGGTATAATGGTCAGCTGGGTTGGTTGCGCAGTTGCAGCAGGCTGGTCCACGACTGGTCACTGTTCGTGTGTTTCTGTTCCATCCTCTTTTGCCACGAAAAGCTGGCGGTGGAGCTTCCCCGAGCGGCATTTTGGCGGCTTTAACACACAGAACCACGTGGTCGTCTGAGTAAGCGGGTCGACCCTCTGGTCGATCCAATCAAAACTGTCGTCCTTGGTCAAATGACGCCAGCAGCGTGATGAGTTGTGATCGCCTGACTGATCAGCTGTTTGACTCTTGCCTGATTGGCTGGAGGGCAATTATGCTCATGCCGTCTGAGTGTTCGTCTTTCAGCTCATGGAACGCTGGCCCGTAGTGCCTTTCGATGGTCAGCATTGGGTAACTTGAGATGTTCCGGATATATGTTATAGTATCTCTCTGTTAGTTGTAGCTCCTGGCTTGTGAAGTAACACCCTGGTCTGATTGAAGTAACATGGGTGGCAGAGAACGTAAACGATACATAGAGCTCCCTAAATATGACTTACTTTTGCTGCCAAAAAAATCAGCAATTGATAAAAAAGCCGCCAATCTTGAAAGGAACAACTGTTAACGGAAGGCATATTCTTCTTGAATGATATTACTGGTAATAGCACGACTTCAATTTGAATAGTAGTGGGTGAGGCGAGTAGTCTGACATAAGCAAAGGGGGTGGGAAGGGAGTTTAATAAATAATTAATTAATAATTTGAAACGAGGACTTAAAATCATAATAGCAGACCCGTAGGCCGTCCAGAGTCGAGTATATACTCGCATAAAATTTCGGTAGGGATGACTTATATGCCCCCGTAAGTAGGACTTGTGAACATGAAACACTCGTAATACAGGTATCTTTGCGCCAAATTCCGGTGGAACAGGGTTGATTTTGGAGCGAAGTTAAGGGTTTGTTTTATGGTTAGGATTAATGTAGCTTAACCTTAAGTTTGATGTTATCGGTAGCTGTGGAATTGGGACTAATGATAGGGTTATGGTTTAGGTTGATGTA